ATTTAATAGCACCATCTTCATATGAGAATTACTGACTAGTATTAAGATTTATTGTCAAACTTCTTGTTTTCTTTTTGATTTTTAAAAGCTACCTTAATTTATTAGCATTGTGTCCAGTGACATCGCTATATGGCAACAGGAGCCTTTGGAGTGATGAAGAAAGGAGCACTGGTAACCCACTTTAATGGGAAGCCTGGTTGCACTGGCCCACGGCCCCCACTGTTTCTTTTTAAAAACACTTTTATTTTCTGTTGTTCTGATTGGGTCATTACTTCCTTCAAGAGAGGTTGAACAACCACTGCCCCTCCTCCCATCTGTCCATGAGGCCCAAGTCAGGGCCACCTAGCACTTGGCATGTGTCCCCACGAGCACTTCTTACACTTCAGTAATCTGGACATGTGTCTGTCTCTCCCATTTGACTGTGAATTTCTCAAGCATCAGACCCTATGTCCACTTGCCCTCAACAGTATGGCCTTTGCTCCTACTATGCCACCAACACTGCTGTAATCAAAGCCAACAACCACCTTCTAGTCCCTCAATCCATGTCTTCTTAAAACTTTTCTAGCCAGCCCTCTCAGCAGCAAGCACTCCATGCTTTTGACCTCTCCTTATCCTTTGGAAATAACACTCGGCTTCAGTAACATCCCCACCCCTGACAATCTTATCCACTCTTTTGCAGTAATAATCACAACTTCTAACATCTGTATAAACCTATGGACTTTAGAAAGCATTTCCACAATTGGTACATTTATCCATTTAATATGTATTATGAATGAATGTATCATTTGATCCTTACAATCCTATGAGGTTTACTAGGCAGGTGTTACCTCATTTCAGACATGAGAAAAATGAGGCCTATAGTCAGAGTAAATTTGTGAAAGGTCACACAGAAAGGATCAACATCAGTACTCCAATCCAGTTGTCAACTTTAAAACTCATGTTCCTTACAATACTGCCATCATATGAATTAGAAGTTCCACATCTAAGAAAAAACAGACATACTGATTATGCTGCTGAAAGACCGAGAAGCCAGTGATTCATAATATCCTCTAATGAAAAAGAAAAAAAGGGCCAGCTAAAACCTCTTAGGTCCTCTTTTCATACATAGCCTTGAGCATCTTTTAAATTGTACATACTTAAAATTTTCAAGGTTCAAATAATACTCTAACAGCAGATCTCCAGTGAACACTTAAATACATTAGCTTCAGTAGTTCATCTACTGCTGCTATAAACAACATATGTAACTCATTTCTTCCCCTTCTAAAGAAAAAGTCAGCAGCTGTTTGCTAAAAAAAAAAAAATTATTGTGGATAAAGACATTGCCAACTTACATATATCATTTTTATTTGGAGTATCTTTTTTTTTTTTTGCCTTGCAGTGCTTCTGAGAAATTCAAAAATGCATTGACTTTAGCACTATAAAATGCAACCTAATATTAAGGTTAGGTTGGACATTTCTAACATTTAGATATTTCTCTAAATATCAAAAGACAATTTATCAATTTTAAATAGAAGAACCTTAATAAGTTAAAAAGTAAAGACTGGCAAATAATCACAAATGGTCAGAGCATTAAATGCATAATTTTTTTTCCACCTACACTTGATATTTACAAATTAAAGACATATTTTTTGATGGAAGACATTTTAAATACTTTGATACATTAAAAACTTCATTAGCTTTAAGAATCAAATTCAAATGCTTTAAAATTTGATGCATAATAGCACTAAGTCTTATGGCTCCCCTGTCCCTGAAAACATAGCTTATTTTTTCCCCACCTATCAGTTAGATAAGTATTATTATAAGTCTTTTGTCCCTTTCAAATAAAAAGGTAAAAGAAACTGAAGGCTTTATTTGGAGGGATATTTAATGTTTTAATTGGCCAGTTGCAAGAAAGCCAATCCTTCTTTTCTATGGTTTTGTCATCTAGTTTTTTTTTTTTCTTTCCTTTTTTTCTAAATCAAGAATGGCAGGAACTAAAACTCAAACAACCATATGATACAGTATTATAATAAAATCAAATTCAATAGCTGAATGAATTTTCTACTATAGTACAGAAGTTGAAAACCATTAGGAATGTTGTGAAAAACTGTGGCAACTAAGACAGAATTCAACTACAAGTTCTACTAAGTTTATAGAGAAATAAACAGTAAAATTACTGTAGTTAAAATATTACAGTAAACATTGTTAGCAATGTCTTATTGCTAACATTAGAATTATATGCTTCATCATTGGTTACTAAGACGATTCCTTGAGCAGATGGTTCATCTCTGACACAACTTAGTTTCAGAAAAGTTGATGAGTTATGTCTGGTTTAGATCAATGAACACTTAGTATACATACCAGTCAGCTACAGTTTCAATGGTACAATGAAAACATTAGGTACTGCAGCTTTAGGACAAGGTCACGTACTCATTTAAATAGCAGCCATGTAATATCACACTCTGCGGTGCTTAGATATGCAATCCACCCACAACAGCCTTCAAACTTATGTTAAACTGCAGGTGAGGGAGGACAGGCTGTTCTGGTAGGGAAGAAAATCATTAAAATAGCACAAAAGGGATTTCAAATATGATGATGTACTACTTAAATATCCACCATGCAGCTTTTCAAAGTAAAAAAGAAAACTTTCTGCATGTTCTATTTCTTCAAACTGAAAAACCACGTCTTTTTGTTTTTTGTTTTTTTAACTTAAAAACTAGTATCTCGGTTGCTCCACACTAAAGTGAAACTTCAATGGCAAGTAGCAAACAATTTAGGATAGACAGTGAAAGTATCTTTGTAAGGAGCTTATAAAAACCTAATAGTAATGTCGTAGAGAAATAATTATGGCTAAAACCAACAGAAGGCAGTTTGACAGTTCCAATATAGAACTCCTATGACAACTTCCTTTGAAGTGTACTAAATAATGGCAATAGAAAAAATTAGCTAAGGAGACAGGTGACATTCTGAAGCAGCATTATCTCACTTAATTTTTCAGAAAAACAAGTTTTATCCATCAGTACATAAGTAAGATGTCCAGTCTTCCAAGTACATTAGAAAGTATACAGTTAATCACAGCAAAATTTACAAACAACCAAATTTAGCTCTGGCCAGAGCCAGGCCTATTTACATATTTGGATTGGTCTCATTTTAACCTTTCCTTGCTACACAAATGTTTATATTTTAAAGGCATATCAAAATTTACAAAATTTGCAAGAAATGTCTTTGTAAATGTACAGCTTCAACAACTAATACAAATATGAACATCCTGATACAAGGAAGCTTCAAATCAGGATTTTTTATGATGGGTTTATAAAAATTAAAGAAATACTCTCTGATTCTTAAGTTCCAAACACTGGTTGCTGGTGCTGTTGAAGTGATTTCACTGCCCTCAGTGACCACTGGGATGGGAACAGAAGACTCCTGGCCTACTGTACCAACACCTCAGACAGAGGCAGGAGGTGGCATGTTTAGCGATATTGCTAATTAAAGTTATGTAGATGCAATTGTCCAATTTAACACTTATGTGA